CATTCAGAGTGGTGATATGGAGCGGTAATGCGCTCAAAACCTGCCGGAACTACTTGAGCTATGCGTTTACATCAGGGGTCACCAAACTTGTTCCTGGAGGGCCGGTGTCCTGCAGATTTTAGCTCCAACCCTAATCAAACTCACCTGAACAAGCTAATCAAGGTCTTACTAGGTATACTTGAAACACCCAGGCAGGTGTGTTGAGGCAAGTTGGACAATAGTTTCTGGATGCAGCCTTTATGATTGTAACAAATGAGATATTTTTTTTTCTTCTGTCGCGCTCAACAAACAACCAAATGAACAGAGAAGGGTCTCATGACCTTAAGGTTAACTTCACACCTTTCTCCAAATTTCATGTGGTAAAATATTGACACTTAGGCATGACCAAATAACCAGAGAAGGCTCTCCGGACCTTAAGGTTAACTTTCTCCAAATTTCAGGAGGTAGAATATTGACTCTAGATAATCATGCTGACACTACAAACCTCAAATTAGTGCTTTGCAATCAGAAATAATGTGCAACTAGCTGAGAGAGGAGGTGGGCCTGATCAACTCGCACTTCTCTCTTACCTATTAGGCCGACCTTTGGCCAGCACCCAAATTTTGACTATAAAGGTGAGGGTTTCTTGCTGAAACATTGGAAGCTCAGCCGTGGGATAAGCGCGCATCACCCGGCATTCTCGGACACACGTGTTGGTTTTCCAATGTGACTGCAACGGGCTCCCCAGTCTTTGAAGAGGAAAATGATGGCACGTCTCTGAGGTTGTATATACTTGTATCAAATTGCTTGAAGTTTTCATTATCTGTCTTTTATTCATGTAACATCTTTATTTCGCATTATAAGCCTTTTATGCAATTTAGTTGTATTTCGATTAATGATGTTCATGAGTATGATTCATGATTATTGAATATTATTGTGATAATTGATATCAGCTGTGTGTACCAGCAATATATATATATAAATATATATATATATATATATATATATATATATATGTGTGTGTGCGTGTTTGGGAGGAGGGGGGCGCCAATGGATAAGTTGTGTCAAAAGGGAGGCCCACTGTCTTAGACTTTGAAAACCCCTGGTATGGTGTATGGACCTTTATTGGTGCCTTCTCTTGTCGATTAGCACCACACTTGTCTCACTTGCATAAACACACACCATACTAAAACCTTTTTGGTATGCTGAAACATTTTACATACTAAAATTTGGGGCATACTAAAACAATGATGCAAGCTGAGACTGCATCTCTTAGCAATGCAATGTCAGACTCAATGGAGTGAGTGACGTCATTATGACAAGTAGGGTTAGGGGTGGGGTTAGGTGAGCGCATTAAAAAACATTGAATGCAGCTCAGATTGCACTGCACCAAGTCTGCAGCCAGACCCCTCTCAAGTTGAAGCTAAACCCTGCAGGGACACCAGCCCTCCAGGAACGAGATTGGTGACCCCTGGTTTACATGAATGCAACAGCACACACTTTTTATGTATATACGTACTTTCGTTCATAAATTTTCTTTTAGCTTCGGCTCTATTTTAGAGGTCGCCACCGCGGAATGAACTGCCAACTATTCCAGCATATGTTTCAAGCAGTGGATGCCCTTCCAGCCCCTTCCTTCCATTACGCCTCATTCACACGGGGTGTCAGCATCAACGCTTCACATTCACTTTGAATGCGTGACGTCAAGGGTTGCCGAACTTCAGTCGGCGACACTTCAGTGGCGTTGCTCGCTGCAGAATTTGGGAACTTCAACTTTTTAAGCTCCAACAGACGCTCCAGCCAATCAGATCACTTTATGCAAATACACCAGCTCAGACAGTAGTCGACTGCGGACTAATTTCATTGGCTGATGCTGCTATGATGATTGCGTCAGCCCCAACTTCAGACACTCTCCGTCAAGCATTGATGCTGAAGCCCCATGTGAATGGGGTATATATATATATATTAGTGGTGGGCTGTTATCGGCGTTAATGTGAGACTCTTATTGTGCTATTAAAAAAATATCGCTGTTAATCTATTCTCAAAGTTGGGTTGGAGCTAGGTCTGTTTTACGCAAGCTATGATGACTTTCACCTTGATATTTTAGCGCGGTTGTATACCTGACCGGTGAGCAGTCTGACAAAAAAAGTGCCCTTCTGGATCTTTCTCTTACTTCGAAGACACTACTGACTATGCTTACATGGATATCTGTAGTCTAGTTATTTGCCTTAATAGACAATAATATACAGTAATAAAGGTGTTTACGTGAAGTGCTTTCCTGTAAAAGTTTCCTGTAATTTGGGGTGACCTTAACCGCAGTTCGGCAGTTTCATTTTAACTCATGAAGTTTTCATTCATGCCTCCGTGACAAACTGGGGTATTAGATGCAAATAAGGAGTAAGGACTGGTGAGAGTGTTATAGAATTTAATAACGCACGCCAAATGGGAAGAATAAACTAACGCATATGCGATGTTTGTGTGTATGTGTGTGTGCAGTCCTTTACTGACAGCTGTGTGTGGATCTTGTCGGAAAATATGGTGAAAAGTTCTACATGACGATAATAGTTTGATTGCGGTGTTTGCTTCAACATATCCTCTAATATCTGCATACTCCACGTCTTAATTCCATTTCTGTTTAGTTCAGTTATGACTTTAGTCAGATTAAGGTCATCAAAAATTGCTGTTTTGAGCTTATGTAGGCCTACAGTCCAAATTTCATGTTTAACTGAATAAACAGTTAGTAAACACACATACATCTTATTGAACATCATTTATATTCATCACCAATTATCATAGTAGAACAGTTTCTCAAGCAGTTTGTGATGCATTTTGGAAACAGCAGATCATGCGCCACCTGGCTTGAGAAACCCGTTCTCAAAGCCTTACTCTTGGTCATTATTTGGGTAGCACACATTTTCGAAATGCCTTTGGCAGAATTTAAATTAGTCATTTTAATCTAGATTAATCTACATTAAATCCAAGATTACAGTGAGTAATCTAGATTATATATAAAATACCAAAATAAAAAAGAATTTTACATACAAACTAATATAAGCTTTTAAGTATTACATAAAAATTAAAACAAAAAAGCCATGTCAAACTCAAAAAAACACAAAACAATAGATATACTTATAATACAAGCTTAGATTCAAAATAAAGCATAGAAAGTAAAACAAATATAGTACAAGTTATATATTTATTGCATATAAATGTGTCCAGAAATATGTACAGATTCATAATAATGGCTTTAATTCAGTCACCATGGTGTACAGTCAAGTACTGGTTAAGGCTTTTTTTTTTTTTAGTTAACATGGCACTACAATCATGGGACGCTTTCAACTAGTATAGACACACAACACAGCACTATAACAATAATAATGCAGAAATATGAGATGTAAACACTATTTCAAATAAAGCAAATGCCTGACAGAAAGTAGCACACACACGTTTCACTCATGACCACTATCAAAACTGCACAAATGGGTATAATATATGTACAGTACAGACCAAAAGTTTGGAAACACCTTCTCGTTCAGAGAGTTTTCTTTATTTTTATGACTATGAAAATTGTAGATTCACACTGAAGGCATCAAAACTATGAATTAACACATGTGGAATTATATACATAACAAAATAAAAAAGGGGGTGAAACAACTGAAAATGTGTCATATTGTTGGTTCTTCAAAGTAGCCACCTTTTGCTTTGATTACTGATTTGCACACTCTTGGCATTCTCTTGAGCTTTAAGAGGTAGTCACCTGAAATAGTTTTTTACTTCACAGGTGTACCCTGTCAGGTTTAATAAGTGGGATTTCTTGCCTTATAAAAGGGGTTGGGACCATCAGTTGTGTTGTGCAGAAGTCAAGTAGATACATAGCTGATAGTCATACTGAATAGACTGTTAGAATTTGTATTATGGCAAGAAAAAAACAGCCAAGTAAAGAAAAACGAGTGGCCATCATTGCTTTAAAGGGCACCTATGGTGAAAAATCTACTTCTCAAGCTGTTTGGACAGACGTGTGTGCAAGTATAGTGTATAGACTGTCATATTGGGGTGATATAAACACACAGCCCTTTTTTTTCAATTTAATAACATAAAAACGGTGGACCAATTGGAGCGGTTTTCAGACCGACCGCAACTTTACGTAAGAGTGCAGTCCCCCCGCCCACCAATATTGATTGACAGGTGCGTCACGATAATGGGGTATGTGCCGAAGCATGCTAATAGGACTTTTAATTTGCCAGTAACCTGGGTTAAGTGCTTCCGGCGAAGTGAATCCCAATGCAAAATCCGGTGCGTTTAAGGTCTGTTTTCTTTAAAAATCAGCGATCTCCACTAGCTGAGTGATATCCGATTTGAAGTGGGTCTCAGATTGTACAAGAAGCACTGCATCAAATTAAATTTCTCCAACCATA